TTCCAGGCGCTGGGGGGGCTGCAGCACCCCTCCTGAGGGATGATGGCCCTGATTCTGCGAGTGGATTGGACCGACTGGGCAAAATGCCTGCAGAGAGGCAACATCAAGGTAACCCCTCATCAAAGTCTGAACAGGTGTGTAATGTGCAACCAAAGCAAATAGCTTGATTATTCTAAATTATTTTCAAGTGATGTTGTTAGTTCTCCTGTTGTCTCCTTGTCTCAGCTATCCAAATATGGAGGGAGAGTGGCTGAGTTTACTTATAACCCTGTTTTAAACCTATCTGAAAATGAACATGTTTCATTTTAAATGAAGCTTGCACAGTATGCTATAAACTCCCCTTTTTTTTTCTTAATGGGTGTTTGCACTAAGCCTTGCTAAACAAGTTAGAGAGATGATTAACTCGTCTGAAATGATGCGGGAAGGCCTCGTCCCGGTTGCGTGTGCTTTCTTCAGCACATCTAGAGCTGCTCCAACTCCTGGTCATTCACGAGCAGGGCTTGCAAACAGGGCTGGGGAGGAGGCTCACGGTTAGAGAGAAACAGTGATAGAAAGGGCTGGAATTTGCACACACAGGCTGAAAAAGGAACTCAGGTTATTTTTTTTCTTAATGAGTAAGGAGTTGTCCCCAAGTTGGTTTCCACAGAAGTGAGACGCAGCTCCCGGGGGGTCAGAGGAGGAAACTCAAAGTTCATTAGCAGTTTTCTTGAAAATATTGTTTTAGTAGCAGCAGTACTCACCCCTACACATGGCGAGAGGACTTTGCAAGACTCAGCTTCACTTTGTAAGGCCCTAAGGAGTTCCTTGTGTGGGTCCGACTCGACCGTGTGATGAAAGCAGCCAGGAAGTTTTGGCCACGAGAGAGCTGCCAAGCACTCGTCTCCATCCTCACACGCCAGCCCGTGTGGCACCCCCCCTGCACCCACGGCTGCACCCCTTGTCAGTGGTTCCCGGGACAGCATTGAGCAGCTCTGAGCTGGCATCGCCCCTTGCTCCCTTCACATCACGGGTGGTGCCAAACAGCAAGAAATGTTGCATGTTACAGCAGCGCAAGGACCTACGGAGAACTTTGCCCAGTCTAATACAGGCTCTGCCTTGAAACCCATCAAGCAGCTGGCTGCTTTTCTGCTTTTATGGTGCTTTTCAAAACTTGTTTTTAATTGAAACACATTTCTTCAAACGCTTTAAAAAAATGATCAGCAAACCAACAAAAAAACCCCCGAGAAACTGCAGTTCATCGTCTGCAACGTGGCCGCTGCCTTCGATTTTAAACTAGTTTAGAAACTTCAGCGCGCTTAACTGCATGACCTCGTCACCCCAAAACAACACTGGAGAATGAGCTTTTGTACCCGTGCTTTTTATACTAAATCATTCACCAACTACTTTTTTTGTCCTACCCCGGCAGGTTTTTGAAATATCAATAGACCGCTCTGCATAAAGTTTAGCTAATAATTCTACTGGCAACAATGACGACAATAATTTTTCCTCTCTCCTTATTAAAAGCAGCCTTTATGACATGAAGCTGGGCACAGGTACTTTCACAAAAAAGGTATTTTATTATTCTTAGCAATATTCACCTTGAAGGAATATGAGGAAAGCATACACTTTTTACAGACAATATATAAACATGTTGTACATAATTAACAATAACTTAGTTCACTAATCCAAAAATAAGCAACATAAAAATTAAAATAAAAACAGAAAATACTGAAATTTTTTATGCTGATACAAGTACAAAATAATTTAAATCTTGACTGCCGTTGTCTATGCTGCAGTGACTGACAATATATTGCACTTTGTCAACTGTATCAGTAATCCCTGTCTTCCACCCACATCCCTTCCCCGTCCCCCTGCCCAAATCCTACAGAAATTTGAGTTGGGCACAAATAATGTACAGCTGTACCATTGTAAAAGGTAAAAAGTAAAAAGGACCCAATTTTTTACCTCAGTAGATTAAAAATTCATACGATTTCTCCCAACCAATTTAGTTTCCTGTTTATTTCCACTTTACAAAGTGCACCTATATGCCTACGCAGACCAGAAAAAGGAGGAAAGCAGGATTTTCATGGCTGCTTGGTTCTTAATTCATTATCAAATATTTGAATTACGTGTTTAGAAAAAAAAAAAATGTACATCCAGTTTTATTTGTTTCGTTGTGTTTTTTTCTTTAAAGCAGGACTTTTGCAGTAAAGATACACTTGGCTTGATCCAAAAAAAAAAAAAAAAAAACCCACCAAAAAAAAACCCAACAACAAAAAAGTTAAAAATTAACAAAAAAAATAATAAAAAGCTTGTCACAGAGTTAAGCTTACGTGGTTTACATTATCAAACCCCTCTGTTCATTGGGGCATTTTCATCAGAAGTATAGCTAAATATGTACATTGTATGTTATACTGGAGCTTGTGTTCACGAGAGGCATCGGATCATAACAATCAATAGAATACACTTCACATTGGCAATAGCTTTGTTTTCGGTCATTTACGTACAACATGGTTTAATAATGGGAGATTTAAACTTTTTTCTTTTTTTTGTTTGTTTTTTTTTCTTTTCATACAAAATACGCTACGGAAAACGGACGTTCCCCTTAGAACGATGCTTTCCCTCCTCTCTCATCAGCTGTCTCTGCGTCTGGGATTTGATGGATGCGTGAAGCTCAAACTGATTGTCTCTCTCTTTCCCCTCTCCAGTGATCTCAACCTCGTTCTGCCCTTCCTCCCTGTGAAGTCCACCGGGGCCTGGATGCCTGAGACAGCACACGCGCTGGCTGGCTGCGTGTGGATGTGGTGGCCACACGGCCGTGTAAGTTTACCCAAGCAGCTAATCTGCATTTTTAAGCGACAGCTGCCAGCGCAACAGAACAAAATGCTTCAACCTCTAAAGCCTGCGAGTTGGATGGTTTTATGCCCTGTGATGGTTTTTGCTGTGCTAGAAGTTAGCTGTGACACAGTTGATTAAAATGCCTGTATCTCACCCCTCGCTAGTGCTGGATTGCCTTCCCGAGAGTTTTTTCCCAACAGTTTGTCTGATCTAGCTGTCTGTTTTGAGGAATCTGTTTTGAGGAATAATAGGGTAGCTGGGAGGGGGGTTGTTTTTTTGAAATAAATCTTTCCTGTTACGGAAAAGAATGAAGAAATTGTGTCAAAATAATCACCATCTCAGGTGCATTAAAATCCCATATTACGGCTACATTTTTGCTTTGTTCCCCCCCAGTCTTTTCCCCCTCCCTAGTAGATATATTGGTATGGAAGATAGACAGAGCTAATCCAAGGGGGCTGCTGAATGTGTTGCCCCCTCTCACCCTTGTTTCAAAGGCAGGTTTTCTTACAGGGTAGCCATTGCAAACAACAGCACAAAAACATGCAATCAGAGGGGTTGAGGCTTTTTGTGGAAAACAAGAGCAAAATAAATATGACTTTGTGTCTGGTTTCATTTTAAAAATTATGTTTTTATAAAGATGTCCTTTTCTTTTTGTTATTTTTTTTTCTTTTTTCCCCATCCCAAACAAAGTCCACGATAGAAATCCAGCATGTCTGGCTTCCAGTAAGCCGATTCCATCCTGGGAAGCTACTTATATCTCTTTACAATATTCACAGTAATAACAAAGAGAGAAAGGAAAGCCAGTTCCAAGACTTTTCCTTCAGCTTCTGCCACCTTTTGCTTCCTGCTGGACCATTAAGTATCGAACAGGTGAGTTCTTTTTCCTTATACCTGAGGGGGCAAAGTGCATTACAGGCACCACTATACGTTTCTGCAGAAGACCCATCATCATTTGCAAGGCTTTAGTCCGTCATTACGAGTTAAACCACATGGGAGCAAAGATTCCCTTTTGCCATCCCTACATTCTCCTCTTGACAGAACGTTTTCTTACTTGGTGTCGTCTTAGGTAAAGCCCCATGTTCTTAATCTCTGAGTGGGTCTCTCGGTCATCAGGTTCTATCCCATGGCTGTAACCATGCTGGATGGGTGCGGATGTCCAAATGAGATGCTGGAAGATGGGTGGATGGGGGTAGGTGTTGGTAGGATGTGTCCAGAGTGGCTGAAAGGTGGCAAGTGCCCCATGGGTGCCATGTGACTAGCAAGGGCAGCAGCGCTGAAGGGAGACGATTTCTCCTGCATGCACTTGGACAGTTCCTCAAAACACTCAGAGCCTTTCTTGCTTTTCTTTGATTTGTTGGACATTTTCCTATTCCTGGTCTGAATTCCTTCCTTTTTCATGGTCAGAGGCCTGTTCACCTGCAAGAAATGAGAAAATCAGGCTCATGCAGACAAAATGACCTTATTGTGCAAAAATGAAAATATTTGGACAGCCCCCATGTGTTTTTCCTGGATGGAGACCTTTTTCTGGCCAAAAAAAATGGTGTTTCTCTCTACAGAACTTGTTTATATTGATTTGTTTAATAAAACCACACACAAAAAAAAACCCCTAGACATGAAAAACAAATTGAACTGAATTTGGCAGCTGATGACTCTCTTTCCTGTAGGCTTACCCTCAATCCTAATTCATTTCCTAGTAGAAGAGATCGAACTAGGAGGCACACGTTGACCCAAATTCAGTCCCAAGACATGAGCAATCTTGTACCAGTAACCTCTGTTACTTAAGTTTAAATAACGTTCCAACATGTCAAGTGATTTCTGCTTAGAATTATTTTTTTTTAAAAAAAAGAAGACAAAACAACAAAACCTTAGATACAATTTTTTTTTTTTTTTTTTTAGGGGAAAAAAAAAAAAAAGATGCCCCATCAGGATTAATTTTTGCGCAGAGCCAGTTCCAAACAGCCTCTGTGTTTCTGGAGGGAAACGGCACACAAAACGCGCTTCGTTAAAACCAAGTGTGGTAGCTCTGTTTTGCCTGATTTGCCCAGGCGTTAGAAGCCAAGCTAATACATTGTAATGTCACTGAACTTAGCATCACTATGCCGACAAAGAATGGCTGTCACTTCCCAGGGGAACCTTAGAGACTGGGAAGGAATAAAACAACCACCAAAACCCTGAAACCAATAAAAGCCTAGTGTACACCATGCAGTTAAGACATCAATTCCAGCCAGGCAAGCAGCGACACATGAGATGAGTAAATACTCACATTGTGCAATTTATAGTAGAGTCCGCAGGCATTACAAACTGGGTCCCCGTTTGCGTTACGTCGCCATAAGGTCGTGGTGGTCGTCTGACAGTTGGCACAACAAGTCCCTGCTCTCCTAGCCGCTGACTAACCAAAAGAAAAAGAAAATTAAAAATGTATCAGCAGGAGGAGGGAGATCATGAGAAAGGTCAAGCTGGACTCAATATTTAGGTTGGGTAAAACTAGTTACTAAGACTTTACAGAGCACCAGGGCTGAAGGAAAGCTCGTCAGTTTTATGTTTTGTGGCTGTTGGGTTTTTGTTTGAATTTAAGTATTCTCCTACACAGATTGCAGCTTCAAGCCCCATGGCACCGTGTGCGCAGGGGATGTAGGGAGAGAAACAATGCATCTCTAACTCCACAAACACAAATTTTAGAGGGGAAAATGGATATTTTATTTGTTCAGATGTTACCTTTGCAGGATCCTAGAATGCCTTGTGAAAATGCATTTGCTCTTTTTTTATTTATTTAAATGACTGATTTAGTTTGTGCCAGTGATGGAACTGGGTTTGAAAAGAAGGAATGATCTTAAAAGAATGTGATTTTTACCCCTACTCTGGCCCTTTAAAGATGGACACAAAAGAAAACCAACCGCATTACTTAACTGGGTGCAGTATTTATCAGCGCCATCACTGAAAATTCAGTTTCCATTTACAAGTGAAAGGCAGAAAACAAAACCGGCTCCAACTTTCTTTAAATATTTAGCAAACCAAATTTCATGCCTTGCAGCAATGATTCCACTGACCCGTCTGCCGCCTCTGTCCCTACTCAGTTCCTTGGCTGACAAGCCCTCAAAAAAAGTCTTAAAAAAACCAAAAAATCCAGCCCCAAAAATCCACCACCCTTTCTAAAACTATTGTTTTGCTGAAACCAAGGTGGAGAAACAGAAAAAGGCCGAAACATTCACCCACCTCCCAAAATAAGAACAGGAAAAGTAGATCAGCAGGCAGCCAGCAATTTCTGGATGGGCCCTTGTCTAGGAGACCCCACAATAACACGTTCTTTGTGCAACATGGTATTGTATAAACTGTTATGGATGGACTAATTGCACCTCGTATTTTGGGAAATAATTTTGTATTAGAAAGCTTCAGCCCTGCCTCTGGAAGTGGTCAAAACACAGTCCATTTTGTGCAATTGGATTAATGCTGAGGACTCAATATTTTATTTTCTTAAATTAGCAGAGTTTACTTTCTAATGCGTATCAGTCGTGGTGATTTCACCAGGGCCTTGCTCCCTGGATATTTTTGCAATTAAGCCACTGAGAGCCATAGGGTGAAGCAGCAGCAAAGCTCACGGGGCATCTCCATGAGCAGAGAGCAGAGTCCCGGTGCGGTGGGTTTCCCAAAGGAGAACTTTATGGGCTTCCCTGCCCACCGGCCTCCGCTCGGCTCACAAAAGAGAAGCACCAGGTTCTGCTCTCACTCGCTCCTGATTTATGCCATGGCCCTCTGTAACTGTCCCAAAGCTGATGGACCGCTCAGCAGCTTAAGGCAAGAACTGGGCACTGGGAGACTCATTATTTCAGTCCCTTACTCGCCTGTGAGAACAGGCCAAAGGCAGAAAGAGAGGATACCCCCTACTGCAAGTACCCAAACACAATTAATGCCAGACCTCCAAACCCTGACATTATTAATATGATCACTTTGCTATTGCATGTCAGATGAACAAATTCCAAAAGATGTCCATCTCCTCTCCCCCACAAACAAGCAAACTACAGTGGAAAAAGGGACAATAAACAAAACTGTAAATCAATTAAAACAAAGCAAAACATTAAAACGACTAAACTAAAAGAAAACCTCGCTAGTGCCCCCCAACCCAAACCTCTTGCAGTGAGCAAAGTACAACAGTCTCCCAACACCCTGGAAGGTGGAAACCTGCGTTTGCATGTTTGAGATGGCTTAGTGATATTCAACTATGCTGCTTAACTCTATGGCCTGTCCCATTCAGACTGGAAAGCACTTGAGCCTGAGAGACGATAATGTTACACTGTTGTCTTAACATTTTTAAATACGTCAGTCACTTTAGAAGGCAAGTCATTAAGAAGCTCGCATAGTTGAAATTCTGACTCATGACAGAAATCTTCTATATCCCATCCCAGCATTAGAGCAGCAATGTCAATTTTCTGCTCTCCAAACCTCATTGAAATGTGCCCACGAACAGCTAAGAGACTTAGGCACCATAAATCACAAAGCTCAAAAAAATATATTTATTATTCTTAGCATTTTAGGCATTATTTGTGGAGTAGAGTGTATTAGAAATTTCAAAACAGCGAGCATGACTGGCAAGGCTTGCCTATAGAAACTCTCTAAAGCTTTTAGAGTCAGGAAACAGATACACAAAGTTTCCTTATCTTTAACGTACAGATATCCGGATAGGAAACTACTACCAGGAGCTTAGAAAGGACATTTTTTTTTAAATCACTCAAATGAAAATACAAAGTATAGGTGACTCCATGGAAAAATAATAGGATTTTTTTTTTAACAGTAGGGGATTGTCTGGGGAGGGAACCAATATTAATATTGCCAGAGAATATAAGAGTGAAAATTACTTCATGGCTTTTATACAAATAATTATTAAGTAGGGAGCAGTAGCTTTGACTCATCTGATTTGTTTTGCTTTTTGGAGCTGGAACTTTTTTTAGTACATGGTGGAGGACATTCGTGCTCATAACCCTTTCGCTCCCAGTATGTGCCCAAAACGTCCCAAGAGGCCAAATAAATGAGGAATTAAATTAAAAGCTGTCATCCGAGGATAAACGGGGAGACGGACACGCGATACCCCGCACGTATTGTGCGCGGCGGGGAGGCTCGGGACAGAGGCGGCTCGGCAGGCTGCGGCGTCGCGGTGGTCTGTGCCGGGGCTGGGGGGGCGGTGGGGGTGGGATGTGCCCCGAGGCACGGCAGTGACCTCGACGTGACTGACCCCCGTGTACAGTACAGCTCGGCTCCGAGCAGGGGCTGGGCAGAGATGAGACAGTTTGATTTTGTGCCTGCGTGTGGTCCCTTCGCCTATTTTATCCCCAAACCCGGGAGAAACGGAGACACCTACCAGCCTTCGTTTGGGTTTAATGAGAGGTCGGTTTTGACCATTCATTTTGTGGTAGAGCCCGCAGGCGTTACACAGGTAATGCCCGGTGCCGTCTCTTCTCCAGAGAGGGGTGGCAGTTGCTCCACAGTTCACACACTCTCTGCCTTCTAAATGGAAACACGAAGAAACCGGATTTCTTTCTTTAAAAACAAATTCACAAAAGCTTTTCGCATTGTCCTTTAGGCATTTTCCAGAAGTCAAAACAGTGTGTTAATTCAAGCACAATCAGACAGCAGTGACATCTACAGCACATGCAGCAAGGAGCTCAGCAGTTCGAGAATGCCCAGGCTCCAGTAAGTATTTTTATGTCATGATCAGAAATAGGCAGCTCTCTCTCCAAGGTGAGAAAGAGTGACACTCTTATTGTGTCAGATGGAAGTTATCGTTTCAGTAACGAGAACTCCCTTAATCTGCGCCGGGCACCGCTCCCCTCCCGTATCTATTGCACTCCGATGGTTAGATCCCGTGTTCTCCTGCCACACATACACACGTACACGTGTACACAAACACACACACACCTGCAAACACAGACAGAGTCAAAGGAAGAGGTTTTCTAGAATTAACTCTAGGCAAAAAAAAAGACCTGCCATTCTGTGCTTGCTTTTTTTGTTGCAAATGCTATGGGATGAGAAAGTAAAGCCGAGCAAACTGGGAATGGATACAGAATGCCAAAGGCTCAGTTATGATTTTTGTTCTAAAGGCAGAAAAACGCTGTTAATGCTGATCCTTGAGAAAGTTCAGTCTCAGCAAGCACTCTGGAAATTACTGTTAAAACCAGGTTTTGAGTTCTTTCCTGTTTCTGTGATTTTTCGGCAACACAGTTTGGGTTTGGTAGGGAGCAGTTTACCTAATTACTGCTTCGTTATTATTTCAGTAGCACAACGTGGGAAATACGGCATTGTGGAATGGCTCTATTAAAACCCAACATGTAGCTCCCAGATACCCGTTTCTGCCTCAGAAAGCTCTCTGCTAAAAGTTCATTTGCCTCTGTTGGTTCGAGGGCAGGTCTGCTTAATATAGAAATCTCTGTTAATATAGTTTATGCAAATCCTACAGTATTTAACTGGAGAGGAAATTCTTTTTGCTAATAACTGAAGCAGGCCATGTTGAGTTCAGCGGGGCTTGTGTCTCCTTTAATCTAGGGAGTGGGTGGCTTTTAAACAACACAGTCTACAGTGAAAAATGAGGGGAGCTCTGCGGCACTGCATTTGTAGCTTTTGTCCCTCCTAGGGCAGGAAGCTGCAGGAGTCGTCGTGTCGTGAGTCTTAGTTTTCCTACAAAAACACTGAGTGGTCACGAACTTTCCCCAGTTCCTTGCGAAGGGGGGCTCCCTTACAGAAAAAAAAAAAAAAAAAAAGAGAGAGAAAAACCGCGTAAAACAAAACAAAACGCTCGTTACTTCCCCCATCTAATAAAATCATCGGCAACTACAGGATAAAAATAAAAAAGCTACTCGAGATCCCTTTATCTTCAGAGACCTGCGTCTCGAATCCGTTTCCAAACTCGGGAGGCTGGGGCTGCTGGTTGCCTTTCCTTACTACTCTCTGCGCTACTAAAAAATACATATACATAGTAGCAACTGTATTTAAATAATGGCAGAGGGAGAGGGCGATTTTCCCCCCAGAGGAGCCATTTGAAACAAGAGCTGATGAGCTTGTAAAATAGCTGATCTTTTTGTTGCAGAACTTCTAAGAGATCATATTTCTAAATTATTGTCTACTTGAAAAATAAATGCGTGTGGTGTATTCATAAGCATAGAATACAAGAACACACACACACAAAAGCATATATAGCCATTTATTTTTAAAGGGCTATCTAAATTCAGTCCTAATATACCGTAATTCATTTCCTTCCACGGCTGAGGATGTTAAAGCAGGAAGGTTGGTAGAATTACACAAATTGTCTTAATTCGTCTTTCTAGTTGTACAACTGCTGTGATTTCAAAGTGGGAAAAAGTGGGATCAAAACTTCGTCCAGCACCTAATTTTCTGATTTAGGACTGCACTTTTAGGAAGAAATGCAAGGGAGGGTAGTGAACACGGGAAAGGGCTGCGGTCAGTCTTTGGAAGCACAGAGATTGTTCAGGGGATTAAAAAAAAAAAAAAAAAAAAAAAGCATTTTCTAGTTAAAGTTAGGCTGGAGTAAGTTAGCGATGACTGGACACCTTAGTCTTTCGCACTGGTATGTAAACTATATTTGAACTTTTGCTCCTGTAGAACGCGAAGGAAATCGGGCCCTCTGCGATTTGGAGCGGACCGGCCGGGTAAGTTTCGCTTTCATCCTGCGCCGGGGCCTTGGTTCGTATTAATGAAGAGACGTGGCAATTATTTGAGCGAGAAACACCTATGGCCAGAAAGTCCCCACGTGTAATCCGCGGGGGGTTTTACTGACTTGGGGGAGCAGGGTCGGGCCTGAGCCCCTCGGGTGGCTGAGGCCAGCTTCTCTAAGATGGAAACTTTTTTTTTTCCTCATATAAATTCCTCTTTGTACAACTCAATCTGCCACCTCACACTGCACCGCTCCCCGTGTCTCTCGGCCCCATCCGAGCGCCTCGAGGCCGGCGCCCGATGGCTCAGCAGCCGATGTGGGCGCGTTGGCACACACAGAAGCCTGGCACAAGCTCCATCTCCTAGTTTAAAA